TCAGTGTGTCAGCAACGAAGAGGAGGAGGAGGAGGAGACAACAAAGGAGGAAAGGAAAGAAGATAAGGAGTGAAGGAGAAGAAAAGATGATGAGAATAGAAGAGTGAGACACAGTGATGGTGTCTCTCTCTTTAAGCCGAGGACAGACTTCAAATAACCCAACCTATGGACCAAGTCTGGACCAGCTGAGGACAGTCATCATGTGTGAGGGAACTGGACCTGAGGTCAAGTCAGGTCCAGTCTGATTGATGACCTCATTAGTTCTTCTCTGAGTTGTCTGAGTTCTTCAGTTGTCCTCAGATGTCTTCAGTTGTCCTGTTAGTCTGGACTCTCTATTTTTGTTTTTTCTAAATCGCTGTTTCCCAACCTCTGGGTCCTTACCCCATGTGGGGTTGGCAAGAATTCAAATGGGGTCACCTGAAATGTCTTGAAATGTATTGATAAAAACATATTTAAAAAAAATTAAATATCACCACAAATGATTTAAACAATTATATCCTTTCACTCTATTAAATATGAAGCTGTTTTTATTGACAGCTGTGTTCATATGAGTAATATGAACATAAGCATGAGTAATGATAATATGTCTATATAATGATAATATGTAATATTAAGGGGTCACCTGAAATGTCTTGAAATGTATTGATAAAAAAATATTTAAAAAAAATTAAATATCACCACAAATGATTTAAACAATTGTATCCTTTCACTCTATTAAATATGAAGCTGTTTTTATTGACAGCTGTGTTCATATGACTGCATGAGTAATGACTACTAAAATGTCTCTGGGGTTGTTGGAAATGTCTGCTGTCCAAATGAGGTACCAAGCCAAAACAATGGTGAGAACTGTTGGTCTAAAGACTGTGAAACGGTGTTTTAGTTCCCAACATGAGGTTTGGTGTTTGCTCTTGAGTGGAGGAGACAAGATGGCATCAGCAGTCTAGAGCAGGCATGGCCAACCTCTCTTACATTCTAATTTTATGTTTGTGTTTTTTTTACACTATTTAAATCTCAGGACTGGTTGCTCACCCCTGGTCTAGAGGCTAGAGGACTGATGTGGTTCTGGACCTTCTGTTCACAGCCCATCAGACCTGTGTGTCCTCCCTGGACTATTTGTCAGTGACCAGATTTAACAGAACTGTAAATTTGATGTTCAAACCCTTGGGTTGTTTACAAATTGTGTCACCACCTGCCACAACGTCTGCTGTTAGCTGCAGCGCTGTGACCCAGTGGGACAACCTCCAACTTACAGCTGGTGAGTCCATCTGCAGTTGGCCGAGGCGATGACGGAGGAGATGACGGAGGTTATGACTGTGAACCATGCAAGGAGTCTGTAGAAGTGAAGCCAATCACTGATGCTGTTTACGGCCGCTGTAGCCCATCAGTGTCCTTCAGTTGGACACCTGAAGGTGGCACCGTCCAGCAGCTACTACATACATCCAGACATGTCAATGAAGACAGAAGAATGAACCAAACTGAACTGTTGCCTTCCTTATTTGTCACATGAGGGCAGACATGATGTGGATGGGAATCTCAGTGGTTAGGGAACTCTCCTGTACACACACACACACACACACACACACACACACACACACACACACACACACCGGAGGGTGATTGGGCAATCAATAAACCTGATTCCACATGTCACGTCTGCTCGGCCACTCCCTCCTGCCAGTTTGTCCTCCATCATCAGCCTCATCACTTGCACCTGTTCCCCTGTGATTCCTTCCTCTGCAGTGATTGCCTCGTGTGTGTCAGTGTTGGAGTTTCCTTCGATGCTGCGTTTGAGTTCAGAACCCAGCTGATGTGTTTTTGTTGTAATCTGTGGCTTTGTACACTGTTATCAGCACAAAACATGGGTACATGGACGTTTTCCATATCATTACGTTTTGTTGTTGTCCATCTTATATAAACAGTAAGCTAGAGTGTGTATTCAGATTGAAGTTGCTCATATATTTCTCTTCCTGTCTGACCAAAAGACGAAAAGCAATGACTAACAGCTATGGTCAGAGAATTTGGAAACTTAGTTAATTTATGCAAAAACAGAGGCTGGCATTTGGAAACCTCAGTGCTCTGTGGCTGACACTGAGTCTATAATCAAACTGAGACCTGAATACATTAGAAAAGAACTTTGGTATTTGGAACAAACAAATATTTCTTGAATATATATACACGTTTACAGCAAAATGTGTGGAAAAAATTGCCGTCTGCCTTGACTGTAATCAGTGTTTCCATTCAGAAGCAAATGTAAAATGAATTCAGCTGCTCCAAAAAGAAAAGAAATAAGAACAGCAAGCAGACAGGGGAAATGATGGATGGTTATGGTAAATAGATTGGGGGAAAAAAACAACAAACGAGAAAAACAGATTTTTTTGGTTAAAATATCCTAAGATAGTAATGACTCACCTAAGAAAATGTATCAATATTCAACCATCAATCATAAGTCTTTAATGTAAAAACAGATAGAAATCATCCACAGCAAAGCTGGTATTGATCAACAATCAATGAACCGTGTTTCTGGGTGACTGCTGTGGCTGCCAGCAAAATCAGCACGCAGTGTCGATACACACACACACACACACACACACACACACACACACATTGTACTTTGTGAGCACTTAACCTAACTTTAACCTGACCCTTATTCTAACCCTAACTCCAAATCAATTCTTTAACCTCAAAATTATAAATTGGATAAACTACACAGGTACACACAGAGACAGGTTTATCTGTTTTCTGAGGACTTTATAAGACACGCCCTCCCGAATCTCTAACCTCAACTATTACAAGTATATGCCTAATCTTAATCCGTATCCTAACTCCATTCTAATCCTAAATCCCCACAAGTATAGCTACACACACACACACACACACACACACATCATTGTGTTTTCTGTTTTCACTTTGTTAAATATTCCACAGTCCTTTCAACCTTAAAAATTACACTCATATAAATGACCTTAATCCTAATCCTAATCCTAGTGCTAACCTACACACACATTTAAAACTAAAATTAAACCCTCAAAAAAAAAAAAAAACCTGTCTCATTGGTCTGAACCTGCAGATGTCCTCACAATGAACGGTGGATCAGTTAACTTCAAACATCCCTGTCTGATGTTCATAACTTCTTGGTAATTATTATGTCCACGTCCGATGGTATGATGTGCTTTACACTAGGGGGAGACAGAGACCCTTCATAGCGACACGTCATTCACTTGATTAATGCCTCGCCATCAAATTTACAGCGGAATTATGGAAATCTTTAGGTTATTCTGAGGAAACGAGTTGAGGTCTGATCAAATCACACGTTCAGTGGGTGGACACACACACACACACACACACAGACACACACACACGTGTCTGTGTTTGTTCTTTCTTTGACTTGTAGTCTAATCTGATCAGTTGTTTCCATTTTGAATCCAGCAAGGGGGCATTTAGGCCCTGGTGGTGCAGTTGAAGTATGTTTCAGTAAAATGTGGGCCACATTATTGGGTTGCGTCCTTGGGGAGGAACACCGCAACTAAAGTGAAGACAGGCAGCGGGGAGGAGCAGAGAGGGAGAGAGAGAGAAGGGAGGAACCGCTGCATCAGAATTGAACAACTCATCTCCACGGTAAAGCCGTGTTGTTGGAGAGTTTATGGGATGTGTTGCACAATCAATAACCAATTTATGAGAACCTGATGGACGGATAAGGTGCTCCCATCTCACCTCAGCTACAGGACGCTCTGCACGTCACCTGACTCTGCCGGCTGATGGAGACTTTTTCTTTTTTTCTTCTTCTGCTTTACACATAAATAGGTAGATTATTCTGAATTTATTAGGAGAAAATGACAGGACAATTGATGACTTCACTGTAATGCGTTCACCCAGCAGTTAACTGTGTTACGACCACGCCTGTGTTGCTATAACAACGGCCACTGTTGTAACTGTCACTGCTGTAGTTCTCTACTGTCTTAACTGACAACTTGTATTTATTTTAGCATGTTTGAAATGTGTTGTTGTCAGCTGAAGAGCACTGCTTCAAACCTTTGTTATAACCTATGTGTTTTAGACATGAAGGTTCTCCTCCACTGACCCCAGGTACTCCGGTCTCCTTGAGCATACCCAGAGAACATCACATTTCATTCTGGCTTCATTGGAATTAAGGTGGAGGTTAGGGTGGAGTGGATGGAGAAGAGGGTCAGGGAGACAGGGAGAACAGTGGCAATAAAATGGAAGAGGAAGGGCAGTAGTAGCCTAATGGTGTGGAAATGGTGACAACAAAAGACAGTAGACTGAGCTGGAGGAGATGAAGATCTTCCCTTGGAGTGACCAGGGTGGACAGGAGTAGAGAGGAGCAGCTCAGCAGCACAGATAAGGTGGAGCCGTTGGAGATGACAAAGACAGAGCTGCCAGGCAAGACGAGAAGAACACCGCAAAGAAGATCAATGGATGTAGTGGTGGAGGATCCACTGTGGAGACTCCTGAATGAAGCAGCAGGAGGATGAAGAAGAAGAAGAAGAATGACATGGCTAGAGGTGTGAATGGTCCCTAGTCTCCATGTAAGGCCCCATGATGGACTGGAGAACCTTCCAGATCGGAATCTATAATGATTGCTAATGACTGTTTAACTGCAGCTCTCCGAAAAACCCACATAAGGATTAAAAAAAAAAAAGATAAATGAATCTTTAATTTGTTTGTGGTTTTGTTGCTCCCTCGCAGCACTTTAACACCAAACTGCAGCCCAGCCTCTGCTGTGTCTCAGTGCTGTACAGAAGAGGAATTCAAATGCACAAAGTCTGCATGAAAACCAAACAACTCTAAAGACCTGGTTATTTTCCCAGTTACTTTTTCTCTAATGAAAACTGTCAACATCGGAGATGCTGATGTCGCTGTTCAGCCCATAAACAGCAGAGACACAGATTTTTAAAAAAGAGAAACAACCAATTTCATTTCAACGTCTTGTGAAATCGTAATCTTTCTAAGAACATTTTTCAATGGACACCACACGTTTACACTGAAGTGACGACACCGTGGGCCGTGGAATGCTTTGTATTTAATATTATAATTTAATAGTTCAAAAGTAGCTCAGTCACACAGGAGAATGACAGAACAGCACAGTCAGGGTTCAGTCACAGAGATATACAGGTCTACAGTTCTGTAGGGTAGAAAATAGGCACAGGAGTTCTCTCTGGACCGTCTGCTGTCGTACCACAGCAGCAGGGTACATGTGAGAGGAACAATAGGCAGTGAGGCTAAACTACAGAGTGGTCAGTAACGTGTGTGCGGCACATGGACGAACGTCGTAAAGGCTAAAAGACGTTAATTAGGCAGAAAGTTGAAGCTGACACAGGTTAATAAAGGTCTGTTTCTATGACATCCAGTGGCAGAATTGCACATCCATACAGTAGAAAAGCTCCACCCACTACTTTAAAAAATGAAGGACATTAAAAAAAAGAGGTTGGTCAGTGCAAATCAAAGCTGCGAACCCATATCTCAGCTTGGTAAACAGAAACGACACAGTAACAGACCTGATTTTTCATTAAGGGTCACGTTTGACTGAAGACGTTAAGAATCACAGAGAAAACAATCAGGAAAACACCGGCAGCTGAGGTGAAGCAAAGAGAAAAGGAAGGTTAGAAGAGCCTGGTGTTGTTGGGGGCAGGAGGGTGTTTACAGTGGTGGTGGTTTGTGTTAATGCATCTGGCAGTGACTAAATATAAAGGATGGATGGAGGCAGTTCCAAGCCCAGGATTCTAATGGCAGTTAGTCAACCATCACAGTGGCATTGATTTGGTGGTGGAACACGTTTCTTTTCTTGTTGTCACATGACCCAGAAGTCCCACTGTGATTGGTTAGTACCTACAGAAAAAGAGAAAAAGAGAAACGGCATCTTATTCAACTTGATTCTTAAAGTCTGGGGTCAGTGTAACAGTGTTGTAATGAATATGGTGTTGATATGAATGATGTCACATGTTCCACTGCTGCTGCCCAGGGGCAACTGGAGGCTTGGCAAGAGATGGAACAGTTAATACAACAGCATGGAATCCTAACAGGATTCGTCGACATCTCAGATTTACAATAATCACCTCTACAGTATTATATCCTACAATTACAGTGTACTATAACCATCACAATACTTCAACAGCTGGAGAATGGAAAAGTAACAATGAATGAGGAATTGAAAAGGGCTTCAGATGAGGACACACAACTAAAGACTGTTACCCACAATTCCCAGTCGGTCAAAGTCTGCACCAGTGTCTACCAGCTTTGCAGCTCCACAAAAGGATTATGGCAAGTGAAATATCAGGAATTTAAAAACGTTGATGCATTGCTAAAAGAGACATCGCTGGACATCTGTTAAGGGACTAGACTACAACTATAAAAGTGCAGACTTTACAAGTCAGGAGCCGGTGTCAGATTCATTGGTTGGTTTGACGAATCATTCAGCTCTCAGTCATCTTCTCATGTCTAAACCCGAAGTCTTTTCATAACCTGCACAGACTGTGACACAGACTGTGACAGTTGCGTAGTGTGTCCCCAGCTAAAGATGGAAGGGCCTTGGAAGGCGACAAACAAGAGGCGGAGCCACAGGACTCCAGGACAGAGTGATCAGGACATGAGTTGAAGAAGACAGCGATGAATTCAGAAGGCGGTGAAGAATCACATGTAAAATACCGTGTCAGCGACAATGGCTTTTATTCGGTAACGGGGGCAGCTGCATTGTCTTTCTGCTCAGAGGGAACGGCTAGGTAGTTGGTCCTGCAGGCAGATTGGTGGAGAAAACAGAGCAGAGTCGGAAACTATAGATTCCTCTCTATCAAAGGCGCGGCGGGGTAACAGTGGCTTCAAGTTTTTGCAGTGATGTAACAATAAGAAATCTCATGTTTTGTTTTCTTCTTCAAGCTGTTTCATAACTGAGCTCAAACAAAGACGGCGTTCTAGTCCAGATGACGGCGTCCTCGCCGTGACTGAGGACCTACCATGCAGACTGCTACGAGGAATTCCAAAGACAAACTTTCTATGTCTTCAAAAGCTTCAGCTCCTTCAAGAAATATGCAGCGGCTTCAGTGACGCACTACAGGAATTGTGCAGGAAAAGCAAAAGTCATTGTAGTGAAAAGAGTTTCTCCGGACGGTCAGCGGATTTAAAACGCAGCCTCATTTTGCATCTCTTTGACAATCGCACATTGCTGCAGCTTTTCATCTTCACCCACGTAGCAAAACTACGGCCTGAAAGAGTTCAACTTCAACCACTGTGTGTCTGTGATGAATGTGCGGAAGCAGCAGATAGTGTGAGAGTGTGTGTGTATATTTGGACATTGTTCTTTTCACTGAGCCAAGAAGCCATTAACTCTTAAAGGAGCTGGAGAAGCTGTTGCTGAATTAGCCTTCCTAACCCTAACCAAACACACACACAAAAACTTAGCATTTCCCAAATGAAGTTTTATGAAATACTTTTCTTTTTGTCAAATTTCATCAGTTATTACATGTTGTCACTAAGAATGACACTGAAATGTCACCTCACCAGGAATCCACAGAGGTCCATAAACGTCCCATATTACACAGAGAAAGTTTTCAGCTTGACTTCAGGTGACCTGTACTACGTGTTTTAATATATGTGAAGAGTTGCACTGATTCTTATTTACAGCAGTTCCCAAACTTAACTGCTAACAAATTCACAGCTTTTGATTGAAAAACAGTTTTTTCTTAACACTGTATTCTTCCAAAACTACATTTCTTATTCAACAAAGGAAATGAAATTACAAATCGCTTCCATTCTCATACTGCGGGACAAATAATGACAATATTACAAAATGAAATCTATTTGCCTTGAGGCCCCTGTGGGGAAGGGTGCCCCCACTTTGGGAACCACCAATCTGCTAGATATTCTTCCCTGTGGCCTGGTTGTTCAGGGTCTGTAATGTCAAGCAGCTTATTATTGGCCGATGGTTCTTAAGACTTCCATTTCCTGCCTTTCCAGATTCCCGTTTCCTACCCTCCATCTTGTCTCTTCTCTCTCTATCATCTGCGTCTGCCCATGCATCAGGCTGACACAACCCCCACCCCCTCAGAGTAATCTGAGTGTGTATAAGTATAACTCCTCAGAGTACTTCTTACAGAATATACATTACTGGAGTACAATCGGTTCCATCTCAGTCTCTGGAAAGACATTACACTTTAACTGTACCTGACATTATTTTACATCTGCTTTTGAACAAACTGCATGAATAGGAAGTCGTCTCGTGGTTTATGTTTGTGCTGAAACACAACACGTTGTCAGTCGTAACAGGGGTTCCAAATATCTATGATTGAATCTCTCCTTTCCCAGGATTTCCATGGGTAAACAACACAATAAACACAGGCGACTTCGTGAAATACTGCAGAACATCTCAATGTTACTGTCATGCTGTACTGT